CTATAACTAGCTATGCCTTTTTTTTTTTTTTTTTACTCTTTTCTTCCTCCTTCACTTTGATCTATTGCGTATGATGGAATACAAAATAGAAATCCTTCTATGCAGTTCAGGAACAGCCCACGTCCATGGCTCTGCATTTTCTATATATATGCATATGGATTTTTTTCAAATTTTTTTTTCACCTGTAGCTACAGGCTTTTTTTTTTTCATGCCACAAACATGAGAGTAGCATGAGTGTACGGGGAGCAGGGTCAATGAGCGAGCAGTTATTAGTTGAACAAAGAATTGCTCCAGGACTTCCATGGTGAGAAGTCTCTTGTTTTTTCCTGCTTTTCTGATAGGTTTTGCAGGATATGGCAGGTTGTGCGTTATTGGCCTAAACCTTGCTTTTCTCTTTTCACAAAGCAGCCAGAGAATCTCTAATGAAGGATGGTCACAGTTACTTCTCTGTAACGTTTGGTACCTTTTTCCCCATGTATGTTTTCCGTAGCCAGCTTTGTACCGCACCCAGTTGTTGCTAATAGGTACCATACTCAGTCATCTGCATCTTCTGAAACTGTGACGAAATCACAAGGAGACTAATTAGCAAATTTGTGACGTGGTACTTTTCCCTCTTGAACAGGTAAGGAGTGACAAAGTGGCTTTGCCAAGGTCGCCTGATGAGTGTGATGAAGCCAAAGTCAAAATTCTCTGTTTTACATTTTAGGCAGCGCCCTCTTTATTTTCAAATGTGTTAACTGAAACACTTCTGTTTTGCATTTGAGTTTAAACTATGTGAGGGGTCCTTATTTTCATTTTTCTCTAATTTATCTGGTAGGAGGGGGAACTTTTAATTAAATTAGAAGTATTCTTCAGATTTTAAAACACAATATCACATCACAGTTATTTACTTTCTCTGTCATTTTAATTTCCTGCTTAGGCTTTATAGGAAACAGCAACACTGTACTTTCAGAAGTGTCTGGCTCATTGTTTGGATCAAAGGTTTTTTTTATGCAATACCCGTTTTTTATTTTAATAACAGTAGTTTGTAGTACAGATGTTGAAAATGTCTTGTTCACATTTTCTTCAACATGCAGTTCACTGACTCAGTCTCAAAAAGATTCTAAGTAGGAGTCAGAAGACATTATTTTCACTTGCAAATATGCAAATAGGAATGAGACAGGAGAAAGCTACAAGATAAAATCTTTTTGGGCTAGGTGAACAGAAACTCGTAGTTTAAATCTCTGTCAAAAGGAAATTTTGCAATTAAAACATCTGTAGGTAATATTCATCTATGTAAAATATTTAAATACTTGAACTATTAGAAGCAATTTTTAAATGGCACTTTTGTATACTCTTAGCTTGTGATTTATGTCAAATTTGCACTTAGATGAAAACTGGAATGAGATTAAAGTTGTACAAAATCACTCTGCTATGGCATGCAAATATGTTGTGTCATCTTCAGCAGCAGAAATGGAGCAAGTTAAAGGAAGAGATGAGAATTGGCTTCTTGAATATAACTGAGATGTCAACTCAATCGATTTAGCTTTGATTAAGATGAAGATAAATATCTATGATATAAATCCCTTGACTTAAAATCATTACATCTTGTCTAATAACAGCTTGTTTTCTTCAATGAATTTAAGCGTTTGAAAGCCTGGGACTGAAGTCTGAAGCAGTGTATGTTTTGCCACAGTGAGAGTCTGAAAAGCGTTTGCAGAAGGCACTGCATTTCATCGCTACCTGTATTTTGTGTGGTTAGGTTTTTGTTACATTATGTACACCTTCCCACCCTAGTTACGATTTAGATGAGTGTGGGAAAGAAAAGAAACTGAGATCTATGTGAATACAAATAAAATGAGGAAAAAAAATAGATCGATCAAATTTTATGCCTTATGTTTCAGTCCAAAACTCAATAAAGCCAATGGAAAACTCTCTTTTTCCATGGTTGGTTTAGATCTTACTCAAAAGGAGTTTTTCTTTACAATGCAGTGTTTGTTTAAAAAACAAATGATTCTCAAAGCCCAGCCAACACCCAGTTGCCAACAAATAGTGTTGTGGATTTCGAGTTTGATTCTGTCTGAACTGTCTTAGGTTGACAAACACTTCATACCACAACTAACTCAAACCTGATATTCTTCTGTGTTTTCCATTTTGCTAAAACAATGTGGAAAACAGGACAGGGAAAGTGGATGGTATTTGTGCTCCTAGCAGCTAATCAAGAGTGAAATTTGTCTATCAAGCCTTGTTTGTGTTTAATAACTTACAAACAATTCAGATGTGTAGACAGCTTCTCTACTTGTTGTTGATCAGTGGGGTGTGCAGAAGCAGCTGGTGGATGCGGAGCATGCCTGTGAGAAAGCTGTGGGATGGGGAAGGGACTGCACAGCCAGTGTGGAGCAGTTGAGGATGGGCAAGGAAGGTCTGTTCTGCAGGGCGATGATGAGGGTGAACAGCACAGCAGTCGTTGGAGAGAAGGGAACCACCCTAGCTTGCAGGGACCGAGAGCATGGTGGCACATTATGGATCCAGCGCTTTTCATCCACGCTGCGCTTGGTGGGCTTGAATCAGGTCAATGTTGAGCAGTCCTGGAGCTGCTCAGTCTGCAGAGCTCAGCAAGAGGAGCAGTGGGTTGAGAGAACCAGGTTCAAGGTGGAGAACAGGCATGGGGATGGAGAAGGAGCTATTCCAGCTTGAAGGGAATGGGGGAGGAGAGTCACTTGTGATATGTTTTGGGATATTTTGTTGAAGCTTTTTAATTCAACTGAGTTTAGTTTGGCACCCCCCTGCCTCATCTCCAATGTTCTCTGCTATACAGAGGAGCTAGTGTCCTGAAAAACTTTACAATGGAGGTTCTTACTTGTGTAGGCAGATTTAGGTGAGCATTTTAACCCTTGTGAATTTGCAGGGCTCAAGGATGCTGATGTTACCGCTGAAGACTTGTCAGATGAATAAAACTCATGCTCTGAAGGGCCTTTATATTCTAGGGAAATACAAATTTTATAGTGATTTTTTTTTTTTTTTTTTTTTTAACCAGGTAGTCTCCTATATTTGTTGCAAGGAAACCTCTCAAGTGACAACAGTTTCTTGAGAAGCCTCTTCTGATGTATAGCACAGTCGGGCAGTTGCAAAGAGCTTGTGGTTTGAGCATGAGGTAGGTGAGGTATGATGGTAGGTAAGATTTCAGACCCTGAAGGGAAGGGAGAGCGTTCTTCCTCACTGGCAAGGCTGGCCTCACAGAAAAGCTATTCAGTAAATGGGCTTATCTATAACAAGATTACCTTCCATGAGGAGATCATTTTATAAACTGACTGTTTCTGGCAGATCTAATTCCTGGCTGTGTGAATATGTATTTATCATGGCTAACGGTGATGGCCTCACCAGTAGGCTGTCGTGAGTAGAAAAGAAAAAAAAACTCCTTTCCATTTTGCACACTACGGTGAAGAAGGAAATTCCCTTTTTATTGCTGTGTGCCAAAGGACAGGTACAGGTCATCTGTTTCCCCCGGTGTATTGAACTGCCGTTTTCCTTGCGCTTGGTTGCTGTAATAAGCATGCCTTGGAAAGTACCCAGTTGTATTTACACAAATACTTGTCTTTAAATCTTGCTTCCCAGTTTCATAAATCTGTTAGGTCAGATGCTGAGGTCGTGTTTGGTTATTTATTCCAACTCTACAAAGTCCATATAAGGCCTGCTGCAAGATCCTTGGCTGTGTACTTTTCTTAATATATTTGTCTCTCTTTTCCCCCTTGATAAACACCGTATGTTCTTGTGTACCAGCCAAGCTATCTGGATCTGTGACATAGGTGAAACGCTGTCCTGTTACCGAGCCTCTTAATTTTAATACAGTTCATCTTTGGTAAAGTTTATGTGGCTCTAATTATGAAAATAGCACCTTGGCTTTGTTTCAAAGTTGTGATATACCCTGAAGCAAGGAGGCTGTGTTGATGGTAGCCGGCACACACTGCGCTGTGGCATGAAAGGTCTGATAAAAACGGCTGGAGTCACACAAAGGGTAACCGGGCTCTGCCCTGGCTGTTTGCAGACCTCTAGATCAACCTTCACCGTTACGGGTGCAGCACGTTGTCGTGGAGCCCTGCAGAACTGCACCAGGGCTGTTCAGACTCAGCTTGCTGCGGACTCCTTGGGCTGATCCTGGTTTTTCCCGACTGTCACTTGTCAGTTGTTTCAAGCTGACTTCATTACGTGGACAAATGCTTGCTAGGAGCGAGCTGATTCCATTACGTTTCTATCAGCCCATGTTTGCTGTTTATTACTGGCACTGGATATGCCTGTGAAGGGAACTGGGCATGGGAAAAGTCTCTGTAGCTAGGCACGATGGTTAGCCTTTAGGGGTTCAACCACAGCTCTGAACGGCTTATTCTCTCCTTTACCTGTCCTTCTGGTGCAGATGGATGACGGGGAGGACGGCTCGCTTAGAATAAGCTCGTGCCTCACAAATTCTGACAGATTGTTTCCTCAAAACTGGGAAAGCTCATTCGTAGTCCGTTTGCAGCATGGGGAGCCTTCTGCAGACTAGCGGTGCCGTACGAGCTGCTGATCCAGTGAAGCGAACGGGATGCTCTTTCGCCTGTTATTGTGCAAACAGCTTACCAGCTCCTAACGAATCGCTCAGGTTCCCGTCTCAGTTGTCCAGGTTTCTTGGAAGTTAGCAGGCATTGTGCAAATAGTTCATAAACCCACAGGTACTGAGATTGTTTTCAAAGCCAAAAAAAGCCGTGCTTCTTTTTGCAGCTCATTCCCCCGCCTCTTTTCCTTTTGTGCTGTGAAACTTGGAAGCGGGCTTACGGTCCCGCGCGTCCCCTGCTCCGAACGTCCTGTTGTCTGTTGGGATTCCCCTTGTGCGGGGCCCCGCCAGAGCCCGAATGGTTATGTAAGGATTTTTATTTTATTCTCAGTCTTGGTCTCTGCCACTAGTTGAACTGGATCACCGGCTGAGTGAATGGGATCCGATCCGAACGGCGGCGTGCAGCTCTGCCGCTCGAGATGAGAGAGAGAGGAGAGAGACCTCCCTCGTACACACCCACTCAGCCTCCCTGCTCTTTTTCTCTCTTTTAAAAACTATTTTCCCAGGCGTAAGTGAGGTTGCTCTCGCTGATCGGGAGCACGTACCGAAGCCAAACCGGCCGGGCAGCTCAGCTCCAGGCATCAGTCCCCGGTGGACCAGCAGCTCCCTTGGGCAGGGCTGTGTTGTTTGACTCTCCAAGCAGGGGAGGAGATAGTGACAGTTTTTATTTAGGCTGAACACGAGGCATATTTAACTACTTATATAACAGTGACCCTGGTCCGTCGCGGCTGGGTGCAGGGAGGATATATGCGTACCGATTCCCGTCACACCGGCTGGGTGGATTCAAGCACTGGGAGCTATTTACCAAAGTTATTTTCAGAAACCTTAAGTGCAGGTTTCCCTGCCTGTACCCTGGACTGTTTTATCAGGAGGCGTTTCAACAGCCAGTGAGAGTGGATTTAGTGCTCGCTGGGCTGCGGACAGAGATAACGAGTTGTCGGGAGTGATTGGAAACTTTTGTCCTGAAGACCCTGAGACAAGAATAGCAGAAGGGCTGAGAGCGTGCGGCCACGTTGAACAAGTGTTGGGGCAGAATTCTTGCCTCAGCACACTGAGCAGCATGTTACTCTTGGATGAGTCTCAGCAGTTTCCAGGTAGGACACAGGTTGGGGTTTTTTGTGGGTTAGGGCTTTTGGGGTGGGTTTTTTCACCTGTTTTCTTTTCCCTCTTGCTTTCCTGTTACAGACCATTCGTTCTCCCACCCCTATGCAGGAGCCACCTACTCAGTGGCAAGCAAAGTGCATCAGGAACGGAGACTCAGGGGCTCAGGTTTTAATTTACTATCTACCTGGCAGAGGTGAAAATGGTTGAATTTTCAGAGTCTTGCAGTGCTTGTTGGTTTGATGGAGAGAATATGGGAAGGAAGCTCTTTCTTTCTTTGTGCCTTTGTTTGATGATGTGACATTCTGGTTCTGACCGTCATTGTTTCTGCTGCTGTCATATTGTAATGCTGCAAAAGTAATTTTTAGCAAGAGAGGAGGCAGCTGTTAATATTGGTATGATTTTATATCCAGTGTCCTCTCCCCCACACCCTTCAACTTTTTGTGTATACCTGCCCCTAAAATCCTACTCGGAAACCGAGTTTTGAGCACTTCTTTTGTCAGTGAAATATTTGGTGACTTGTGGACTGGGCAACAGTCTGGGCACCAGGCAGAGCTGTTGGTGCTTGCTCCAGATCCCCTAATTAGTGCCTAATAAACTGAGCTACCTGGCTCTTTTTTTCCTCCCCCATCAAATGGAAGATGCTGGTGAAACCTTACCACGAGTTTTGTGGGTTTGGGATGGCTGGTGCTTGGTCTCCTTGCTGGTGGGAGGACGTTGTGTACTGGAGGAAAAACTTTGTTCAGATTTGAAGAACTTTCTAAATTTGTAATTTCAACTTGTTACTTTGAGGTTAGGTACTCAGGGACACCAAGCTGCTTCCACCTTGTTCATGTGGCAAATGCTTCCGAAGTTCATTATGTGAACTTAATAGGCTGGTCAAAAATGGTCCCCTGGAGCTCCAGCTCTGGGTTCCTGGTGCAGTGTGGTCTTCGTGAGGAGTATTTATAGAGATAAACCATGCAGTGTTTGTTGTCCGTTAGTGGAAGGGACGAATTCTAGGAAAAAAAAAATTTAAAAATCTGTCTTTTCTTGCTTTCTTAGTTGTGGTGACAGGACAAAGCAGCTAATTCTGGGAGAGTGTGAACTGAGAAGAGAAAGGAATTATGATACAAAATGAGTTTGGATAAATGAGGAATCTGGGTGATACAAGTGGCTTATGTAACTCAGTCTAGATAATAGGTATAAAAAGAGAAGACAGGGGAGGGGAAGATGCTTTTGAAAATGAGACATTTCAAAATGTAGGTCATAGATGGAGGGAGGAGAACACAAAGTTAGACACCTTCCAAAATTTTTGAGTGGAAAAATATTTTGGGGTCATTTGTACAAACATAAGAGAGCAAGAGTGCAAATGAACTCGTCCTTGTACAGCATCGTACTCATCAAGTTATAAAGTCTGGGGCAGGGTTTATCACAGTCTGCTCGTCCAGTGGGAGAATTATCTCTATTTGAGGAAGCATTTGTAATCAATCCAACATGGTTGTGCTCTGGCTGGTGGATCCAGGAGGGTCTCCATCCCACTTCCATAGCTGTGTTGTCCTGAGAGGATGATGAAACTGCACAAGGTCACAGACTGAGTCTGGGTGAGGACTGAGACATCGTGTTCTTCCCTGCCTTTGTGCTTCAGCTACTAGTCAATATTTATCCTCCTCTCTGGTTTACATGGCTTTTTCTCACTCCAGGTGCCTGAACACTTCTTTGGGGTGTTCAAAGTACCAAGCACTTGTATATGCAGTGCTGTGCTATCTGTTTAACTTTCCAGAAACATTTATAAAATACTAGAGACCATTTTAATTATTTTTATGGTAGCACCCAACAGCTAGTAAATCCAGGTTTGTTGCAGTACATTACCTATCCCCCATGTGAAAGAGGCTGTTGCCCTCTAAGAATAATGTCTCGTATTTAAAAAGAGCCCTGTCTCCTCCCCATGTACACATATGCTTCCTTTTTGACCATGAAGGTAGTGGTAATTTTAGCAGCCTTATAAAGGAAGTGGTGCTTGTCTTTTTTGCAGGCTGTAATGAACTTAGCTT